ATACTAGAAATTTACATTCGCAACTTGAGAGTTTAAAGCCTTGTCAGAGCTTTCAGGATTGCCGTAAATTTTCTATTGAAGTTGAAAGGATATGCCGACTCCTTGAAAATAATGGCCAAAATATATCTGGGCAAGGAATATGGATGAGTTTAGAAAAGAAACTTACCATCCCAATTTTGCGCGAAATACAAACAAAAAAAGCGCTGGCCAAAACGCTAAGAACAGAATGGGATACTACCGCCTTCAGAAAAGCCCTAAGGGAAGTAATCGAAAAAGAGGAACTTGTCCTATCTATTCATGGAAAATCACCCGAAAAAGGCATAGAAAGTAGGTATAACCCAAAAGGTTCAAGAAACTTCCAAAATGGAGGAAGAAATTCCAATGAAAAAGAAATAACCAGGACATTTGCTAATACGGAGGCTAAAAATAGAAATTTTAATGATAGAGCGAAATTTAACAAAAATAATGGCCAAAATCAAAATAGAATTGAAGGCGGGAGGTGTTCCCCAATATACCCATGTATATTTTGTGGTAAAAAAGGCCACTGGGGAAACGATTGCAGAAAAATCAGCACCGCTTCAGACCGTCGCAAAAAATTGATAGAATTAAGCAGATGCAAATTTTGCTTTAAGCCAAAACACAATGGGAATTGCAAAAAACCCATCAGATGCTTCTATTGCCAAGAAAGGCACAACACTGCTCTTTGTGGAAAAACATACAAAGACAGAAAAATAAAAATTGAAGAAAATGTTTTGCAAAATTCTGCCCTCATACAAAGGCCGCGTCAAAATCGAATTCTACTTTGTCGCGAAGCTATTATATTTAATCCTTCGAGTCCAGAAAAAAGGACTACAGCTAGGATATTCATCGATTGTGGATCTCAAAGATCGTACATTCGAAAAGGAATTGCTCAAAAACTGGGCTTACGTACTTCTCAAAAAGAAGTACAAAGAATTCAACCTTTCCCAACGAAACGAACTCCGGTAATTGAAGCTCAAGCCGAAATATTCAAACTGGGAATCGAAAAAAGCAAAATAGGGCAAATGGTTGTAGAAGTGGGACAGCTGAACAATCTTCACAGCTTAATCACTCAAATGTCCGTAGTCTTGGCTCCAAAAGACGAACAGGAAGTGGATCTAAATTCAAAGAAAATGCCACATTCCGTAGTCGAGCCTGACGTTTTACTAGGAGTTGAATACTTCTTTGAACTAAATATAGTACGCAAGAAAAAATTGAATTGCGGACTATGGCTCGCGGATAGCGCGCTTGGACCTATCAAAGGTGGAAAAGGAAATATAACAAATGGAAAATCCTTTCCCTCGATTGATCACTCTAATGTCGTAATTACTGAAGATGATTACGAAAATGAAACATTAGAAGAAAAAATATGTTCCTTTACAAGTAGAGGAACAAGAGACGCGACCAATCAAAAATTGGAAGAAAAAATAAGAAATAAATTTGAAGCAAAATTAACGTTCCAAAATGAACGTTATGAAACCGATTGGTTACGAAAAGACTCCGGTCCAAAATGGCCAAGCAATCACCGAAGGTCAACAAATAAAAGATCTATCCGAAGCGCCGCAAAAGATCTATATCCCTTTAAAGAAAAAATAATTCCGGAAAAATCGGAAGAAAAAGAGAAAGAAAATAAAAACAGCTCTCAAAAAAGGGACAAAAAGAAAATCAGACTAATCGAAATCTGTTCGAAGTCTGAACACGATCAAATGGATCTTAATCTGAATACAAACAAAAATTCAAAAAATATTAAAAAAGAAATGTACCTAAATAATTTGGCTTTTACCAGGAACAAAGAAAAGCCATCAAAAAGGAAGATCCTAGAGGAAAAAGGAAATTTAGATTCGATAAATGGGAGTAACGAGAAGTACGAAAATCCGACAAAATCGGAAAAATGGAGAACCAATCCAGATGATCGTCTTCGATCCTTCGTGCAAAAAAAACGCACAATAAATACAAAAAAGAATAAAATTAAAATTGAAACAGTTAGAAAACAACCAGGCTTATACTCTGCCAAACTAAACAAATTCCAGCAACAAAATTGCTTGGAAACAAAAATTGAAGAGGAACTAAATACTTCTCGGTTAAATAAATTTTTGCAGCAAAAACGCTTGGAATTTAAAAATTTAATACTCCCATCAACAAAACCCAAACGGTTTGGTCCAACGACAAAATTTGTCCACAAAATAAATCGAATCAATTGGAGGCTGAACAACCACCAGACGAAATTCAACACCTGCTGGAAGACAAAATCTGGCTGTTGCGGGAGTGTTTCGACTGGACAGTCTCATTTCGTAAGGAAGTCTTACGACGGAAAGAGGAGTAATTAGAAGTCTAAAAGAAATATAAAAATATTTAATTTCCACTTAATCATAAATTAAATCTTTTAGACTTTGCCCCTTTATTATTTAATATTTTATATTATTCATTTCCGTTTCCTTAAGATTTCCATTAAAACTTAGGCTTTATTTTTCCTTACATTAATAAACTCTAGCAGCGAACTTTGATCGCTCAAAGCCTATAAATAATTGTAATAATCTCCCCTTAATCGTTTTCATTGGTTCACTCTTACGGTTCATTCTTAGTCTTCTTTCCTATTATTCATTAAAAATAAATAAGCTTCTCTCAACATTGTTAATTCTTTTAAAATAAAAAGAAATTTCTCTTTAAATTGTTTTACCTTTATTAAATAAATATTGGAAAATAATTGAATTGGATTTAAAATACTTTTAAAAATAATAAAAGTTAACTCGAAGAAGAAAGAATTGGTTCTCCGAGCAATTAAATCTAAAATTTAAATAAATTCTCAAAGGAAGAGAATTTAGTCGAAAGAAGTAAAAATTTGTTCTTTTGACACTCGTTTCACTTATTACATTTGTGGCCCTAAAGAGGGCCGTTTGGGTTTGGTTGTTTGTGTTCACACTGCATTCATCTACGTACGCTCGCCACGGATTCGTCGGGCAAGTTGGATGTCTAAAAATTTAATTTTTTTAAAAATTGATTAGTAATTCCTCAAAACCCACCCTTTGGCATGATGGTCACACGTTTGGCGTGGATTGCACACAAGTTGGTATCTTCGAAAAGACCAACAAGATATGCCTCAGAAGCCTCTTGCAAAGCAAGAACAGCGCTAGATTGAAAGCGAAGATCGGTCTTGAAGTCTTGCGCAATCTCTCTAACCAGCCGTTGGAATGGAAGCTTGCGGATAAGTAATTCAGTCGATTTTTGATAACGACGAATTTCACGCAAAGCTACGGTTCCTGAAAAAAGTGAAGTATCTCAATGAGACAAAACTAAAAGTATTTTCTTGCCTGGGCGGTAGCGATGTGGCTTCTTCACACCTCCAGTTGCCGGTGCAGATTTGCGCGCAGCTTTGGTGGCAAGCTGCTTACGCGGCGCCTTTCCTCCAGTAGATTTACGAGCTGTTTGTTTTGTACGAGCCATTTTTGTTGTAAAGCTTTGTTGTTGTTTTTAAGTTGAAGAACACTTTTTACTTTTGAAAAGTGAGGGTCAAACCTAGGAAAAAGTCTTAAATATTGCGGTCATTTTTTTAACACGCCCACAACAAGAAAAAAATGAAGCTAGCTTGCCCGCCAAAAATTATAAAACAAGATTTTATGTAATAGAAAGAGAAAATAAAATAAGTAAAGATAATGGGTTAGACATCTAAAGAAAGTTTTTTCTTCCATATTTAATTTTGTCTGATTATCTAGTCCCCAATTTCAACACTATCTTTATTATATCCTGCCTCACACCATGGCGTCGTTTCTGCGTCTCTTTTCAGCAACAAAGACCGCCCTTTTTCTTTCATTTCTATTTAAGACTTCTTCCTGTCCACCTCACAGTTTCACTGTGACCAGCAAAATTTACAAGCTTTTCAAAAACTTTAACGGTTTTCAAAACAATGTCAGGACGAGGAAAAGGAGGCAAAGCAAAGACTGGTGGAAAGGCGAAAACTCGCTCTTCGCGTGCCGGACTTCAATTTCCTGTTGGACGTCTGCATCGCATTCTCCGCAAAGGACACTATGCTGAGCGGATCGGCGCTGGTGCTCCCGTCTACATGGCCGCCGTTCTTGAATACTTAGCCGCTGAGGTTCTTGAATTGGCAGGCAATGCTGCTCGAGACAACAAGAAGACTCGCATCAATCCACGGCATTTACAACTTGCCGTGCGAAATGACGAGGAACTTAACAAGGTTGGGAGTTTCTTTTCAATTTAAGTTTTCATTTTTTAAATTTTTAGTTGCTCTCTGGCGTGACCATCGCGCAAGGCGGAGTGCTTCCCAACATCCACGCCGTTCTGCTGCCTAAGAAGACTGCAGGCGAGACTGCTTGAAGAATTGCTGTGCATCAAAAACCAAACCCAAACGGCCCTCTTTAGGGCCACAAATTTAATAAGTGAAACGAGACATTGACTATTTTGTTTTTTTTTTGTGTAAATTTTTGTATTTTATTAATTTTTGGGGTAATTTATTAAAAATTTTGCATTTTTTGAAGGTTTAAACTTTTCCAATAGTTGAGAGGTTTAAACTTGCCAACTTGTTGAGTAAATTTTTTATCTTTTTGAGGAACTTTTTTTTACTCTCGGAGTAAAATACCGGGCCGACCACAAAAAGCAAATAAATGCATGAAAGTGCACTTGTAAGGAACGTCGAATTTGACTCAACTAAGAATGCAAACTACTTATTGGGAAAGCTTTTCGTTTTTGCCTAGTGGTTTCTTAATATGAGGGAAATGCATTGGAATGCCGATAGAATAAGGATAAAATTTGAGTTGACTTGTCTATCAACCTATTTTGGTCACTAATTTTGGACAAACTATTAAAAATACCGAAAAAACAATTATCTCAACAATTTACATAAGAACAATTTACAATATATACAATGGCTATACAACAAATAGATCACAATACATTTACAAACAATATATATCTATATATCACAGAGCAATTATCCTCTTTCTTCTACATTTAGGCTTCACTTTTCTCTAGTCGTTTGCCATCATCCCATTTACAATTTGCGCCGCCACAGAGCTGTTGGAGTAGTCGGTATAGTAGGCGTGCGGATTCTCCATCTCCTTGTCCACGTAGAACGATGCGCGACGAGCAACTCTTGCTTTGTACGTGTGACCTTTAAAAAAGGGAAATTAGATTTTAGGCCGGCAGTTTTTGTTAGACTCACTCAGTTTGAGTGTTCCAATGACGAATGATTGAGGCTCCTCTTCACCATCACTACAGGGCTTGGCAGTGTTGTCGTCATGATCGCTTTTGTAGCTCGCAGCAGTATCCAAACCTTCAGCCACTGAGTAGATCATCTTGCTGTTCTCGAGACCCTCAGCAGCCATCAGAGCATTCATATCCACATGCGACCCTCGACCTAAAAAACAAAGAGAATTTAGGTTTTTATAAAAACTGGTTTTGTTCAAACTCACTTTGCCGGTCCCCCACATTGTCGTCATGGTCGCTTTTGTAGCTCGCAGCAGTATCCAAACCTTCCGCCAAAGAGTAGATGTTCTTGCTGTTCTCGAGACACTCAGCAGCCATCAGAGCATTCATATCCACCTGCGAGCAAGAATCGCCATAACATTCCCGCCTTTTGCAGCACTCCTTTTGACCTCCATTGTTGTTGACGATTTCGTTGTTGCTCAGCTCCTGGCACGTACGCACGCAAAGTGATGTCCCATCAAGATGATAAAGCATTTCCCCGCTGAAGGTGCCACGTTCTGAAGAGGAAGACTCCTTGTCGTCCATTGAAGGTTGCGGATGTTGTTTGAGAGTTGCTTTTGTTGTTGTGTTTAATGTTGGTAATTTTACCTTTGCTTTTATACTAACAATTCTCCGTGAGTTTAACCTTGTTTTTTATTATGTGATGAGAGAAATTTGTTCTTTTTATGTTCCTATAAAAGCAAACTTTAAATCCCACCCTTTACCAATCTTCAATTTTCTTCACAGATCTACACGCTTCTCAACAAGTCCAAATGGGTACTACGGTTACAACGGCCATCAAGGTGGAGGAACACAGCTTCAGCGCGGAACATCTGTCGGATGACATTGACGACACGCAGCGGGACATCACCGTCGAGAAGGACGAGCCAGCAGAAAACGAACCAGTGGAGGGCGTCGACTCGTGCCGTGAACTTCATGAAACTGCAAGGGAGACCATCAGTAACGAGGATAATGTGCTGCTGGGAGATGAAGAAGACGAAGATCTTCCAGCCGATGAGACGCAGAGGGAGGAGGAAGAAAAGGAAGTTGAAACGGCTGTGACGGACAGTGACGGAGAAGAGGAAGAGGTGGACATGAACGCTCTGATGGCTGCTGAGCTCAACAACTACCCAAACATGGACCGTTGCACCAGTGACTGTGACACGGCAACTGTGTATTCCGAAGGCGAGGAAGAGCAGCCGCGCATGTACATTGTTGGAGAGACTAAACCAAGTGAGTTTTTGACATTTCTGATTTTAATTTTCCACAAAAAAATTCTTTTTTTTTACCCAGAATATAAGCTCTACCGAGCAGCTCGTCGTGCCTCATTCTACGTGGACAAGGGAATGGAGAATCCGCACGCCTACTACACCGACTACTCCAACGGCTCTGTGGCGGCGCAAATTGCAAAGGCTCCCCTACAAAGGATAGATGAATTAAAGGATAGATGCGCTAAAGGATAGATACGGCCAAAAACTATCAAAGGATAGATGCATCAAAGGATAGATGCACTAAAGGATAGATACGGCCAAAAGCGATCAAAGGATAGACAGTTGAATAGGTCGTTTGAGTCTGGACAAAAATGTTTAATAATCTGAATCTTCGCTGGAAAAACTGTTTTTGTGCTGCTACTGTTTTTGTGCTGCTACGGAGGGTAGGCCGGGCATGGTCTTCGCTACACGATGGCCGTGCTTCGCTGCGGTCGTGCTCGCTTCGCTCGCGGCGACCGTAGCGAAGCAGCGGCCGTCGTGTAGCGAAGACCATGCCCGGCTTCATCCGCAGCGGCAAAAACTTTTTTCCGCGAATATACTAAAGTACAAATAAAATAAAAATCAGAACAGAAACATGAAATCAGAACAAAGATCTGAAAAAAACAAACAAAGATTAGGCACTCAACAGTTGGTACTCAACTGGACTCCAAACTTTATCTATGTTTTACCCAATTTTAGACGTGTCTATACTTTAATGGATTCTACCCCTATCTATCCTTTGGCGCATCTATCCTTTGATGCATCTATCCTTTAATCGTTTTTTGCCTTATCTATCCTTTAGCAGCTTTTGGCCGCGTCTATCCTTTGATCGATTTTAGCCGTATCTATCCTTTGATTCATCTATCCTTTGAGCGGGCACGATTGCAAATGGGATGATGGCAAACGACTAGAGAAAAGTGAAACCTAAATGTAGAAAAGAGGATAATTGCTCTGTGATATATAGATATATATTGTTTGTAAATGTATTGTGATCTTTTTGTTGTATAGCTATTGTATATATTGTAAATTGTTCTTAAGTAAATTGTAAAGATAATTGTTCGGTATTTTTAATAGATTGTCCAAAATTAGTGACCAAAATAGGTTGATAGTGAAACAATTCAACTCAAATTTTATCCTTATTCAATCCATTGGCCTTTAAAAAAATACATTTCCCTCATATTCAAAATCCAGTAGGTAAAAAGAAAAACTTTCCCAATAGTTTGCATTCTTAGCTGAGTCAAATTTGACGTTCCTTACAAGTGCACTTTCTTGCATTTATTTGCTTTTTGTGTTCGGCCCGGTATTTTACTAGGAGAGGTTTTTAGTTGTGGTCTCATCTTAAGCACAATTTCAAGAAAGCATTCTGATAAAATAAATTCCATTTTATAAAAACTAAACAATTAAAAGGTCGTTGTCGAATACTTTTAAAAGCATTATTCTTCATACTGGTAAGACTTTGACTCCCCAACACAACAAAAAACATGTTTTTCCAATGTAATTAAATGCGCTGAGTTCAAATATCACTATGAAAGTGCTCAAAACGGTCTACTTTGCCATTTTTTCCCGGATTTTCAGACCCCTGAAAATCGAAAACCATAGGGGGGACCAAGCTGATTTTTGGGGTCAAAAATTCGAATATGCAAATAATAGCTCATTCGAAAGAGCTCGTCGAGCTGAGTCGAATGACACCAAAATCAGCTAGATTGGATGATTTTTGACAAAGTTATGACCAACAGAATCTTCGCTGGAAAAACTGTTTTTGTGCTGCTACGGAGGGAAGGCCGGGCATGGTCTTCGCTACACGATGGCCGTGCTTCGCTGCGGTCGTGCTCGCTGCGCTCGCGGCGACCGTAGCGAAGCTGCGGCCGTCGTTCCGCTCGACATGCCCGGCTTCCTCCGCAGCGGCAAAAACTTTTTTCCGCGAAAACCTTGTGGAAGGGGTAAAAACAAACGGTCATAACTTTGTCAGATCAAGTCGGATTTCGTTGATTTTGGTGTCATTCGACTCAGCTCGACGAGCCCTTTCGAATGAGCTATTATTTGTATATTCGAATTTTCGACCCCAAAAATCAGCTTGGTCCCCCCTATGGTTTTCGATTTTCAGGGGTCTGAAAATCCGGGAAAAATGGCAAAGTAGACCGTTTTGAGCATTTTTATAGTGATATTTGAACTCAGCGCATTTAATTACATTGGAAAAACATATTTTTTGTTGTGTTGGGGAGTCAAAGTCTAGCCCTCATACTTACAATTACAAACCTTAAAACACTAGAGTTCGAGACTTTTAAAAGCCTGGGCCTCTTCCTAAGTTCCAGGTTTGATTTATTGACCTGGGCCGGACCTGGGCCTGTAGTCCAGGAAAAACCCAGTAAGGTCAAAACATGCCTGGGCTTAGACTTTGGGTGCAGGAAAACCCCAGGTTTTGGTCCAATCCCAGCTCGATCTCTATAAAACATTACAAATTCTCAAATTAATTTACACTAAATAAATATTTATCTTATAATTTAAATAATTTAAATTTCAAAAAATATATTTCTGGCAATAATTAAAAACATTTAAAAAAAATTCTCTCAATAAAAAATTTTTTTTCTTCCATATATTTTTATTTCGGAGCACAACAAACACATTGAAACAAAGAAGTAGACGTATAACTTGTCTCTTCATAATCCCCACCAATTCCTGCTCCATTTGCCGATGGATATGCCGGGTCAAATTTAAAGATGGCAGAGATTATATCGTCCTTTAAAATGAACAAAAAAATATTTTTTTCTAATTTAAAAAAATACGGGGCTAGTATTAGCACTTCTAGCAACAATTCTACAACAGATTTGACAAGCCTTTTGACTGTTTGCAGCAGTAAATCGGCAAAACTGGCGTGTATGATAACGCGGTTGGGGAGTAGGAGAATAACTTTGATCATATTCTTTAAATTGAAAAAATTTTTTTAATAGGTTAAGGGACATTTTTGAAACTAAAAAATTTTTTTTTGTCATCCTAAAAATTAATCAGTTACTGAATACGGAAATTTTAGTGATTTTAACAATTTGTTAAATTTTTTCACCTTTCCCTTCCCCACTTTTTCCATAATTGCTACTGTATTCATTGCCATATGTTGTAGCTAAAGCAAGGGAGAACGAACCATGGACTGAGCAGTAATGAGCTAAATAAATTTAAATAAATGAGGAAATTAGTGTTAATAAAGGTTTAAATTTACAATCATAAGAATGACGTTTATTTTGATCAAAAGCCCAAGGGGAAGTACCGGAATAGTGTTGTTGTTGGTTATATTCATCATAATTATTATATTCTTCTGATTCTTTCACATAATTCTGATATTTTTAATTTTTATTTTTAAATTAATTTTCCTTAAAAAATTCTCCTTACATAATTTTCTTCAGGGGCATAAGGCTTTTTCTCTTCTGCTGGATAATATTCTTTTTCATAACCATTTTGGTATTGTTCATAGTTTCTAGGAAAATTTTTAAATTAAAAAATTTTTTTTCTGAAAAGATTTAAAAAATACCCTTCGTTATTATATTCAGCATGACTTGGATATTCCTTGTACTGAGGAACTTCTTTATAATCTCCCCCATATTCTTTTTCTCCACTTCCATAATATTCTCGATTATGATATTTTGGAGGATAAGGCCTTTCATAATGATTTTGTCGTTCATTAGAAGATTGATAATTAGTTGGCTCCTCATAATTAATACGGTGAAAAATTTTCTTCTGTTGTTGGTTATTTTTTGGTGGATAATGTTGTTGTTGCTGTTGTGGACTTTTCTAAAAACAGGTTTAGAAACTTTTAGCATGTTTGAATAATTAATTTAAAACAAAAACGAATGTTTTAGTAATGTTTTTAACAAAATGTTTTTCATAAACAATGTTTTGTTTTATGAGAAAAAAACAATGTTTTTGAAAACAAAACAAATAAAACATTGTTTTAAATGTTTTAATTAAAAACAAATGTTTTTGCCAAACAATGTTTTAAACAAAATGTTTTTCATAAACATTTATATAAACAAAATGTTTTTCATAAACATTTTGTTTTATAAAAACAAAACATTGTTTTTCTAAACAGAACAAACAAAACATTATTTTAAATGTTTTTAAAACAAACTTTATAAATTGGTGTTGTTTTCGCTGTTGTTTTAATCGTCGTTGTTGTTGTGGCTTTTGTTGTTGTTGTAGGCGTTAATGTTTTTTCTGTTGTAGGTGGTGTTGTTGTCGAAGCAGTTGTTTTGGATGGAATAGGGGTTGTTGTATTTGTTTGTTCATTTAAAGTAATGTTTGTTGTATGTTGTTGTGGAGGAGGCGAAACAGCCAAAACATGGGAGATGAAAACAAATAAAAGAATAAATGTTTTGAAGTAAAGTTTAGAAGAAATAAATGTTGGAAACATTTTGGGTAATTTAATAAAAATAAATTTGAAACTAAATTGATAAAAATATTTTTTTGAATTTTTAAAAAATAAATAATAATTAAAATTAAAAAAAAAATTAAAATTAATTAAAAAATAAAATAAAATTTTGAAAATTATTGTTGATTTAAATATATTTTAAAAAATATTCATTATTCTCACAAAAATAATAAAAATATTTTTTTTCAAATTAAAATGAAAATTGTGAACTCTCCAATAAATAAATATGAGAAAATTAAACATTAAAAAAATCCTTTAAAGAATTATCAATTAATTAAAATCTGTCACTTTATTGTTACAGCTTTATTTCCTTTTAATTATTTATCTCTGGGAAAAAGGAAATAAAAAAATTAATTTTTAATTTTTACACAAAAACTGTCCCCCCCCCTCCTTATTCTTTTTTCTCAACATTTTTCTTTGGACAATGAACTTGGGAAAAAATTGGAAAAACTAAAATAAGTGTTAAGTGGAAAGGCGGATCTTTAAAGCTAAAAATTTTCTCTTGAACGACCTTTGTCCGAAATGAACATTTTTTTTAAATAATTATTTTTAATTTAAATTTAAATTAAAAATGGATGAGTTAAGGTATGAGGTTAAGGCGTAAACCAAAAAATTTTTATTTTGAATATTTTAGGTGATTATTTTAAAAAACAAATTTAATATGGAATGCCTAAATATTTACAAGAATTATTTAATTACTAGTCATTTCATAAAATAAATTTAAGATAATTTTTGAGAAATTAGAATATTTTTTTATCTATTTGAACATAATTTTGATAAATTCAGGCTTTTTTGAAAAATAAAAAAATTCTAGAAATTTTTTTTACCTTTCAGCGTCCTTTCTTGCAATTTTCATTTTTAATTAACCTTTCCCTCCCAATTAAAGGATGATTGTTTAAAAAGTGTAAAATTAGCAAAATAAATATTTTTTTCTTTAATTATTTAATCATTCTTTCATTAAAACATTTTACAAAAAATATTTTTCTTTCAATTTTAAATTACTCAACAAATCCTTGTAAATTTATTTTTATTTTTCTCATTAAAAACAATTTTTATTATTGTAACAAACATTATGAGAAAGCGTTAAAATATAAAATTCATCTTTTAGAGATTAATCATTGAGAAAATTTAAAAAAAAGAAAATTTAAAAAATATTTAAATAGGCTTGAAAATCATCTTTATTCTAAATATATTTTATTCCATTAATTTTTCTTAATTTTATTTTTATTTTTAAATATTAAAAAAAACTTTATTTTTATTTTTTAATTATTTAAAAAAATTTATTTTTATTTTCCTTTAAATTAAAAAATTTAAATAAATAACAAAATTAATTAATTTATTAAAAAATTTTCTCAAAATTTTTTATGAAAATTTTTTAGAAACTAAGAATTTTAATTTGTTTTTAGATTTTAATTTATTTAATTTTTTTTCTAATTTTTTTCCTAGAAAAAATAATTACTTAATAATGAATATTAATAATAACCAAATTATTATCTTTTTCTTCCTCTCATTTTCCTCGTTTATTTTGGCAAATTATGAACAAGTAAAAAATTAATTTTATTTTTTAAATATTTTTTAAAAAATTTAAATTAAAAAAATTATTTTTAATTAAAAAAAATTATTTTCAATTATTTTTAGTATGACGATAGTTATTCTAATAATTATCAAGTGAAATATGGACAAGGAAGGCGAATTATTGATGGTAATTTAAGGAAAAAATTATCTAAAAAAATTTTGTTTTAAGATTATATTTGTGATTTGGATGCCTCAGTGCTTGTGTATGTTAAAAAAATAATTTTAAAAAATAAAAAATAATTTTTAAAATATTTAAGAGTGACAAGTGACAATGGCTACAAGAAAGCAGGATATGGTAAGAAAAATACTAAAAAAATTCTGAAATAAATTAATCAGAATTTAAGTCAGAATTAAAAAATCAGAATTTTAAAATATGAACATTTAAAAATAAATCAGAACAAAAGTCAGAATTTTTTAAATCAGAATCTTTAAAAACCAAATTTTTTTAAAAATCAGAATTTTTATAATCAGAACTTTAAAAATCAGAATTTCTTAAAGCAGAATTTTCTGGAAATCAGAATTTAAAATCAGAATTTTTGAGAATCAGAATTTTAAATTCTGAATTTTTTAAAACCAGAATTTTTCAAATCAGAAATTTTAAAAATAAATTTTCTAAGGCAGATAATTCTGATTTTTTCTATTAATTAATTTTCAGAAGCAAAACAACCAGCTTACCCTGCAGGCTATGAAAAAGCAAAGAGAGCAAAACGATCAGAATATGCTGATCAAGAATACAAAAAATATGGAGAATATGGACACTCTTCTTATAATAAATATAAAGTAGCTAAAGCACACAGGTAAATTTTGTGAGAATTTTTTAAAATTAAAAATAAATTTAAAAAAGGCTTCGTTGCTCTATAATTGCTTCGGGAAGTGATGAAGATTGTAGAAAATGTTGCCATATGGCTGGTTAGAGTTTTTTTAGAAAAATTTTTTCAAAAAATTTTTTTCAGCACGCAAGGAACGCAGCATTGCAAAGGACACAATTTTCGGTTTTGTTGTTGACTATGATGAAGTAAATCCATCACAATACAATCCACCGGCTGCTGGCTATTTACACAAACCACCTGTAATTTTTTTGAAAAATTTTTTTTTAATTTTTCAAAAATCCTTCAGTACCGTTCAAAAAGAGATGCAGTATCCTCTACAGATTATAATACTACCCCAGCTACAGAATACAAAAAAGAAGAAGAATATAAACAACCAGCTAGTGAATATGCTTCTCCTGGATATTCTCCTGCTACAAACTACCAAAATTATTATAATTATGAGAAAACTCCAAATGTAAGGGAAAAAATTTTTTTGGAATTTTAAACAAATCTTTTTAAAAAAATTCTTTTTAGAATCCTCGCTGTGTTTGTTGTTCTCCTAGAGTTTACAGTGTTCATCGAGACTATGGAAAGAAAAAATCTTATGGATATGGCAGTGGAGAGGCAAAGAAGAAATATGGAGGAAATGAATACAAAAAAGGTGGGGAATATGGAAATGAGGAATATGGAGGGGCAAAACAAGGATATGAAGCACCAAAATATGAAGCACCTAAAGGATATGAAGCACCGAAGTATGAAGCACCTAAAGGAGGATATGAAGGCGGATATGAGGCACCTAAAGGATATGAAGCTCCAAAAGGGGGATATGAGGCACCGAAATATGAAGCACCTAAAGGAGGATATGAGGCACCACAATATGGAGGTTATGAAGGACCGCAGTATGGCCCACCACAGGGAGAATATGGGGCACAAGGAGGCTATGAAGGTGAGGGAATGAAAGAATAATTAAAATAAAATCAGAATTAATTCAGAATTTAACCAGAAATTTAACCAGAAATAATGGAAATTAAATCTAAATTAAAACCAGAATTTCTTTTAATTTCAGGAGGTTATGAACAGAAAGGCTACGGACCAGAAAAATACAACAACAAATATGAAGAGCCAGCAAAACCATATGAACAACCACCCCCAAATTATGAACAACCACAAGGCTATCAACAATATGGAGAAAAACAAGAATACTATCAAGAAAAACCAAAACATCGCTATGGGGACAAATATGGCAGCAGTTATCAATATGGACGGGGATATAATCAAGAAAATAAAGAATATAATAAAAAGTTGTGAAAGAAAAAAATAATTTTTTTGAATGAAACATTTTTTAATAATAATTTGTAAAATTTAAAATATGTAGTTTTTTAAATAAAATTTTAAATATGTTAAAAACACTTTCTTTTCCTAAACAATTAATTTTCGAAAAATATTTAAAAAAAAATTTAAATAAAACTTTATTTTTTAGTCAAAATCTAATTAAATATTAATATAGAGAAGAATGGCTTCCATTTTCTGAATAAATTCAATTCGAAATAAAAATTGAATAATTATAAATTTGTATTTAAATATGTGTGGAATAAATGTAGAAAACAAATTCTTTAAAATAATATTATTGTAGACCAATTTTTGAGTAGAAATGCCAAAAATTTTTATTTAAAGTAACGAGAAAAATAATATAGGTATACATAATTTAGTCGACAGTCGGACTTACCGTATTTCCTCAAATAGTACTGCCGGCAGTACTATTTTTCAACCCTCCTCTAAAGGGCAGTACTATTAGAGGGGGCAGTACTAATAGAGGGGGCAGTACTATATTTCAACCTTTTTTCGAAATTATCTGAATCTTTTTTTTGTTGAACCTGAATCTTTTTTTTGTGTTTAAATTTTTTTATAGTATCCACATAGTATGCTCTGAAACTATCCCAAATCAAAAGCTTAGCTTGGCTGACCATCCCCCTTTTTTCCTTTCCATTTTTTACAATTTTTCACATTTTATGGCAAATTAATATCATTCGAAAGAGATCTTCAAGCTGAGTCGGTAGATCTTCAAGCTGAGTCGGTTAAATCTAGCCGATCTTGGTATCTTTCGATCAAGCTGTATATAATAATTGTATATCAAATAAAAAAAGCTCGGAGCGGTGAAGAAACGTGAAAAAAGGGGGATGGTCAGCCAAACCATTACAAAGCTTGTTCCAAACATGAAATTAGCAGACCTTTAAAATTTAAGACCCCGTCTATAATGACGTCTGTATCAAGCATTTTGTAGAGCGTTTTGTAGAGCGCCATGCGTATCTGTCTACTTAGTGTTTTGTGGAGAGGCAAGCTTTAAATCAGTTCTTCCGCGCGTGCATCAGGTCAAGCATATTTATGCGATCAAAGATTTCGAGGGATTGAGTGAAAGTTTTCTAATTTCGAGGTATAAGAGAGTAGAAATTATGGGGATGTCCATAATCAAGGACGATGGGATTATGGGTGATATCAAGAATTTAGGAAGATGTCGGGAATTAAAAGCCTCTCATATCCTTATATAAAACCTCTCATATCCTCACATCTCTATTTTTTTAGATAGAAGGTTGTCAATACAACTTCCTAGTACCAAAAACTATTCGTTATTCATCTTGATCCCAACTAATCCTTATAAATTCATCCATACTTAAATCACTCCAAGCCCATCGATATCCTTCATAATCCAACAAAATCCCCATTAATCCACCGATATCCTCTTATGCCCTCCAATTTCTAGACGAATAGATATTATGATTGCGAGGAATAATTACTATGATTAAAAAATCAAATTTTGTCTATTTTTTATATTTTTTAGGTGGGGGCAGTACTATTAGGAGGGCAGTACTAATAGAGGGGGCAGTACTATTTTTCAACCCTCCTCTAAAGGGCAGTACTATTAGAGGGGGCAGTACTAATAGAGGGGGCAGTACTATTTGAGGAAATACGGTAAGTTTTAAATAAAATTAAATGTATGTATCTCTTAAGCAGTTCCCCATTAGAGTTGACGTTTTAGGATACTAAAAAAGTCGGAATATCCTAAATTATCGGTTTGAATATAGGTTCCTAACCGTGATATCCGAAGATTTTTCAGGATCCCCCAGTCTTACTCCTTAACCCACTGGGGTTAAATTTAAAAAATATTACAAATTTAATTAGGGAAATTTTGGGAAGTATAAAAATAAGGTTCGACTATAAATCCAAAATAATTTTAAAAGAATTTAAATAAAAAATAGTTGGCATTTCTAAAAACAGAACAAAAATGAAAGGAAAATGCAAAACATAAAAAAATAAATATATTTTTTATGTAAATATATATCAAGCATGCATTCCAATATTAAATAACATATTATTATTATTCTTATTCGCTAATCTATTGTTGCTACTACTTGCAACAGCCTTAATTCTTCCTCCTTTTCCACTACTTGAAGATGTTAATCTTGAAGATGAAGAAGAGGATTGTGGTTGATGTTGAGGCTGTTGATGTTGTGGCTGTTGATGATGAATGTTGCCGACATTTTTTGGGGGTTCTACCAAAATCTTTTTTTCTGTATGGATGGTATTTGAAGTCCCAAAATTAGAAAAAGCCTGTTTTGGCCAAGCAATTCGTGTCTCAGATCGTTTATAGGCAAAAAGATGGCCTTTACCAGATTGAATCATATTATCCCGTACCAAATGAGGGAATTCGTCTGGGCTGAGGACTGTTTCATAACCATCAAAGAGAACATATCTAAAAAACAAATTTTTCTTACAATCCAATAAAGATGTCTTTTAATATATCCATGTCAGGGATACTAGCGAGATAAATACATTCCCGATTTTCGAAAATCGGAAAGGCAGAATGTTGAGCTAATTTAAATGAGGAATGGTGGGACATGGAATTAACAAAAATGCAAGGATATTAGAATGAAAGGGTAACCAAATGTAAAGAACGAGAATATCCAAAAAACAATTTTTTAAAATAATTAGTATTTCCCCAATACTTCAGGTTTTAAAAACAATTTCTTAATTATTTGAAATTAATATTTAACAAAAAAAATAAATAAAATTCTTACAATCCATAATCTTCCGGATTGCTAACCTTAAAAAAAGAATTTTATAAAATAAAAAATTAAATTTTACAGAAAATTGATGAGCAATAACTCGACATAATTTGGAAGCATTCATTTTAGGCAAAACAGGAAATGTATGATATTCTATTGAGCCTTCTTGTTCATTTGGAATTGCCACACGAAGTAAAAGATCAGAATTATTATTAGAAAAATCATCAACATCTTGAAGTGTCTGAAAAAAAAATAAAAATTAATAAAAAATGAGAAATAATTTTTCAAACCGATTGGGAACCAATAAAGTCAGCAATATTTGGCAAAGGATGACGACCAGGCATTAAAGAAATATTTTTTAAACGTTTGACAATTTCTAAAAAAATAAAAAAAAATTATTTAAATAATTATAAGGTAAATTTTTGTGGATTTACTTTAGTCAAAAATTCAAGAAAAGAGGAAACCCCGAAAAATAAAAATTTAAGTCTCGAACAATTAGCAAGATGTAAAATTTCTACAAATTGGGATATGACTGTGTTAGCAAAAAAAATTAAAATTCTGAAATTTAAAAAAAACCTGGATGTTTAATAACATGAACAGCAGAAAAAAGAATAGAAAGAAAATAAGAAGCATCACCAGTTGATAAAACTTGTTGAGGTAATAATTCCCACATATACCATGCTTCAATTTCGCAATTGATAGTTGAACTACGAGCTAATAAATAAACAAGCCAGCGAATAAGTTCTAGAAAAAGAAAATAAAATTAATCTTAAAATTAAAAATTTAAACTTTAAAAATCTAAATCTCTCGAAAACTTGGGAATGCATTGATCTAAAGATATTAAAGATAGACAGTGGAAAAGTAAGATTCATGCCCGTATAAAGTCAGAAAAAATAAAGAGATGGGGGGGAGGAGGTATTGAGAGACGTTCTTCCAAAGTTTGGATGAAGTGTTAAAAGAAAAGAACATTGTCTGCGGGACAATTTTGTTCAAAGAAAAGGTGGGGAACGCTTTAAAAAATTCCTCAACAGGAAAAGTCAGAAATGAGTTGATGCCCATGTTAATATTTGAAACAAAAGGTTCTACATTTACTCAAACCTCAAAAATTAAAAAAATAAAAATACCATCAGCAGGCGGATGTTTAAGTGCTGCAGCCATAGCCCCAGAACTACTACTTCCAGAATTTGTCCTTAAACGTCCACATCCAGCCCCAATACTATTAGATGTTTGAGCAATAGGAGAAAGAAAAACAGAGCTATTACTAGGTTGTGTTGCCACAAAACTTTGTTGTTGTTGTTGTCTTTGTAATTCACTAGAAGAAAGTAAAGGCAAATGAGGAACTGCCAAAGCTAGTGCCCGAAGAAGTAATTGAAGCTTTTTTAATGGCGAATAATGATTTTGCATTTTTCGTAATTGTTTATTTATTGATTCCATTCTGATCTTAAAAAAATACAAAAAAGTTTAAATTTTAAATTTAAAATTAAAAAAACGTTATCAGGCAAAACGGTGTCTTCAGAAAATCCCAATTCTTCAGCATTCATTGCACGGACTAAGGACAGATTTTCTGTAAGCTTTCCTAATTCGCCGTTGCGAGTGTTCTCCATAATCATCAAACGGTAAAGCTGAGCTTTTATTCTGACTGAAAAATAAATATTTAAACATATAAGTAGACAAATGAATTGCAAGAGGCATAGTGAATCCTAATTGAAAAATTTTCTCAAATTCAGGAATTGATACCCCTTTCAGTTTACTGTGGTAAGCAAACGACCGCTAAACAAAAAATCTCCATTTCTACTTTTAATAATAGTGAGGAGGCCCGTAGCCAGGAAAATTTTCGGGGGAGAGAGGGCAATTTCGGCGTCGAATTTCCAAATTGCCCCCCTCCTGGCTACCGGCCTGATAGAGTTCTTTATTTCAGCACTAAAAGAGGAAAATAATTTAAAAACTTGCCTAGCAATATTTTATTTAGAACAGATTCCAAAATTGCATCAATATTGAGAAACTCATCGGCATGTAGTCGGTCACTTTCTCTTTCAATAATTAAATGTAAATCAGCCTCCCCATTTTTAACCAAATAATTCTTGATTCTACAAAAATTAAGGAATTTAAGAATCCTCTCAAAAAAAACAAACCCATTAAGAAATTGACGTACTCGTCTAACAACAACATAAGGATCCTGTTCTCGACTTAAAAGTGTGCATTCAACAAAACGTTGAAGTGTTGCACCAAAAACTGTTGAATCATCGGTGGATAAACTTAAAAATAAAAAATAATTTCTAAAATAAATTTTGAATTTTGACAAATTTCGAAGGAATATAAAAGAAAGAAGCAAAGAAAATGTTTGATTGAGAGATTTTTAATTTAAAAAAACTTGATTTTGACAAAAAGCGTGGACATTGACTTTTGATTTTATTTGACAAATCTTTGACCAGATTCTTAACCTTGAGTCAACGAAAAATCAAAGGAACATAAAAAATGCTTTGATGCTGACTCTGACCCAAGAAACATCAAAAGTCTAAAGGTACTTGTGGGTTATCCCAAACCTGTTTTTGCGGATAAATTTACACGGACAAATAAAGTAAAGAATGATCGTAATGTCTTCCTTCCTTTGTTTCACTCTAGTTCCCTGAGGCACTGGTTTGGGATAACTAAAAGTACCAGTCTAAATTCCGAACCAAGAGCCCTACTCCTAATTTGGCCATCCCACCCCTAACATAATTTTAATTTTTAAAATAAATTTCCCTCCTTACGTCTCAACATATTGTTGAATAACCAAAGCAGGATCCTTCTCGCCTTGACTCTCCTGTGAAGCATTACGTAAACGTGAAGGAGACAAAACAGGCGTAATTGAAGGACAAATAGACCCAGTCCGACTATGCTGGCTGCCTAATTCATCCATTGATGCTGAATAAGCAGCAACAGAAGGAAAAGCAGATTGGTGAATATTTTGTGTTTGATGTTCCCCAATAGACCTTTCCATCATTGCACGTAATCGACGTTCACTTCTTCTATGCCCTACACTACTTTCTCCATTAAATTCTTCCATTGAATCAAATTTATCTGAAAAAAAATTTTTTAAATTAAAAAGTGAAAATAAGATAACGATCAGTAAATAAAAATCTAACGAAAAAAAATTTTTTCAATCAAAACTTTGGTCGATATTTTAAAAAATTTGGGTAGGGGATCATTGAGTCCCGCCGGTTGAGTCATTGAGCCATATTTTGGGCCATAACTTTTTGAATTTTCAACGAATCAGAATAAATCTTTTATTATTCGAAAGCCCTGGTTGTGAGGATTATTTTCGCTAACTAGATTGATTTGATCAGATCATCCTACAAAAAGTTAGATCTGGTTAAGTGCGCGAAATCGTGATTTTTGATCTAAATTAGGCTGTAACTTTTTGTATGTTGATCTGGTCAGATCAATCCTGCTAGATAAAATAATCCTTACATTAAGAGCTTTCGAATATTATATTAATTAACAAAATCGATTAAGAATTGGAAAAGTTATGACTAAAATATGGCTCCTGTCCCCGAAAAATTTTTGAAAAAATAAAAAATGACATTTTGTCCAAAAAATATCATAATGCCAAATCTATTAACGCGAAAATGTTAAATTTAAAAATTAAATTTCATAACTAGTAGAAAATTCTCTAAATTTTCTAACCATCTTTTTGTGGAATATTTTGTAGATTTTCAGTTTGTATTGAAGAAGATGAAGGAATATCCAAAAGAGAAGTACTTGCTTCTCGACTACTTCTTGCTGTCCACCTAACTCTTTGAGAGGGCATATTGCAACGGGAAGAATTTGCTGCTTTTGCTGCTTGTTCAATTAATATTAAAGTATCTAGTGAAGAATTTTGTGGTAATAATAATTGTTGTTGATTAGTAGTTGATATCTTTAAATAAATAAAGTTTATTATCAGTTTATCAGAGAAGAAACTCCCAAGGTAAAAGAAGGGATGTTTCTCTCTATTAACGAGCATTCGTCTTTAATAGTTTAGCAAGTTTGGCCACAGGAAGGATTCAAACCTGCGACAGCGCTGACAGTGATCGCTCGGCCTTCACAAATGCAGGTGCTCCACTAAGCTATCGGAATCCTAATGCTTTCTCTGTTATCCTCTTAGATCTTTAACCCCCGTTTAAGATTTTTAAACGCTTCAGGTGAATCATTCTTACACCATTCTTTCCATAATTTATAACTCCATAATTTATAACTCCATCTACCCGAATTATATTTCCATCAAATAGCTAATGTTTATCTACTTTAACTTTCAAAAATTTTTTCCCAAATTTTACTTTATTTTCTTCCTCCTCCCCCTCTTCCTCATTTTCCAACAATTCTTCTTCACATAACCATTCCATAGGTCTAGGCTTTTTTCTATTAGGTAAAGTTCCATTTCCCGCTAAAACAACAGCCATAGCAACAGCTTCTTCAGCAACATTAATATCATCATCTGTTGAATTATTTTCTTTTTCTTCTTCAAAATTTTCTTTTTTATTTTCATTTTCTTTCTTTTTATTTAAATATTCGTTATCATCATTATTATCGTCCTCAGAAGAAGGAGAACTTCTCCTCCAAGTAGAACCATCAGAAGAAATTGAGGAAGTATCACAACTGCTTCGTCTTCTTCTCGGTTTTTCACTCAAAAGAGGAATTTCTGTTTTTGCGTCCCCAAATTTGGCTATTTCCAATAAATTCTCCCAAGCATTTGAATCCCAAGGTTCGTTAAAATCTGTCCCAGCAACGCTAACTTCATCACCTCCATCTAAAAATTATTTTAAAAATATACTCAATATTAAATTAGAATTTTAAATCAGATTTCTAAAAAGGTATTTATTCTATGATATGGTGCAGAGTTGGGTCGGAATTCCGACTTCCGAAAAAAATTTGATTTTCGATTTCGAAGTTCCGAGTTTTGAGCCAGTTTCGATTTCCGGCTTCCGATTTCCTTCACCTCTGGCTGTTTCGACTCACATCTGATATGGTCTAACAGTCTGTATTAAGTGTGGGTTTTCCTAGCCAATCATTTACGTAATGCTTTTTCCTATTGAAATTCTGTTTACCCGTCACCTTCTTTAGAAGCCGTTTCAATTTTTAGTAATTTGTTGCATAATTATCAAAATAATTTTATTTTGGATTTTAGAAATTAAAAAGTAAGAGATTGGAAAGGAAGATGATCTTCCCTTTTTTTAAATTTAATTAGAATTTTTTAAAATTATTTAAAAAAAAATATTTATTTACTTTTAAAAGAATATCTAAAATTATTATTTTCTCCACTAGTTGAAGGTTGTTGTTGTTCTATTTGTTGTTGTTGTTTTCCTTTAAATAATTCATTTAAATGTGTGTATTCAGAGCTATTATTTAATTTATTTTCTTCTTCTTCTTCCTCCTTTTCTTCCTCTTCCATTTTTTTATTCAAATTTGTTTTCAATTTTTTAGTAGAATTTAAAATAATTTTTGGTTGTGGATGTACCTGGAAATTAATTGAATTTAATTTTTTTTCTATAAAAAAAGGAAATTTTGGGGAACAGATTCGTTTACTTAATTAAAGTCAGCATCGTTACTTAATTTTAAATTAATAATTATTAATTTAAAATAGGATAGTAACCCGATTCTTCGGGGTCGGGGTTTGCTGCCTTCGGAGTTTGGGTCGGAGTTTTTGACAAAAAATCGTCTGGGTCGGGGTTTCCGGGGTCGGGTTGCTACCCTAATTTAAAAAATCCTTTACTCAAAAACATTAAACTTAAATTCTTCCCCTTATTAATTTTTATTTATTCTCAATGGAAGAATTGTCGATATCACATCCCCTTCATTATTAAGCTACTATCTCAATTCGGTTCCGAGAGTGTTGTTTTATCGATATTTGCCGTATTTTCAAGAATACGGGTCTTGAGAACCAAACAAGAACAAAAAAGAGAGTTTAAAATTAAAAAAATAAATAAATAATTCCTAACAGTTGCAATCACTGCTTGGCTTTTTGCAGAAAATTTCGAAGAATTATTTAAATTATTAAATTCTCCATTTTTTGTTTTTTGTTCAATAAAATAATTATTATTTAATAATAAATTATTTTGACGTTGTCTTAAAGGAGGGGGTAAACAAACTTTTGTTTGGAAATTATTTTGTTGTTGTTGTTTTCTAATGTCTGATGGTGGGGCTGTAAATGGAGTTATGAAAAAATTGTTGTTGGTATTTTTGTTGTTGTTGTTGAAATTACTGGAAAATATAAAAATTAGAATTCAATAAAATACAAATATTTAAGAAAAACTAAAAAATTTTTAGAAAAAATTCCACCATTAAAGATAATAGGTTCATGAATAAACTTATATGTATAAATGAGCTTAATTAAAAATAGTCAGAGATATTCATTAAATTAACAGATAATATACTATAAAATATTTAATTTTAGATAAATTTTAGAGATATCCAAAAAATTAAAAAAAAAGTTTACAAGCAGAAAATAAAAAGAAAAGTTGAATTAAAATATTTATTTAGACAATGCTTATCAAAATAAAATGTGAATGATTCAAAGTTAGAAAATTAAGTAAATATTTTTTAAACACATCTGTTTTTATTGAAAGTTTATTTAAATAAAAGGCTTTTATTTTTGTGAATAAAAAAATTTTTTAATGAAATAATTTACAAATATTTATATTTTTATTTATTTTTTAAAAAGAATTTTAAGTTGAATTACAAAAGGACTTTTTTTGGTAGAAATAAAGTTGTGAATAATATGTACTTGAAAATATAGTATAGAAGTATTTACCATAAATAGAAAAAAGAAATTTTTATAGAAAATTAACTAAACTGAATTAAGAGAAGGGAGGAATTAAAGGCGTTAATTAAAAGAAATTAAATAAAATTTTAATCTAACTTAAATTTAAAGTCGGCCCTCCTTATTTCTAGAGACACTCAAAATTAGAGAACTTCAATTTGAAATATGTTTTATAACTTAGCTACTAGATAAGGGGAATGTATGTATAAATGGTATCCCTTAGTTAAAGTATTCCTTATTCAATATATCCTCTAATTATAAATATATTTTCAGCTTCAAGGATGTATCCAAAATAAGGTTGGCGGATAGTTGGAAATCTTCGGATATCCGGATCCGGATCCGATATCCGAACCGAAAATTTCGGATATCCGGATCCGGAACCGATATCCGAACCGAAATTTTCGGATATCCGGATCCGGATCCGATATCCGAACCGAAAATTTCGGATATCCGGATCCGGAACCGAAATTTTTATTTTCAATATTTTCGCCTGCGGCGCTGTAAAATTGAGTCCCAATGAACGATATAGAGGTTAAGAGCTGGGGTTGGGAATTACGAGAGATATAGAGGCACTTATTGATTAATTTCCTATATCCGCTCTAATCCCATCATTCCTGATCCCTCTATATGACATGCATATACATCAACATTTCATTAAAGTTGTAAACCCGCATGTGATTTTTACAAATGTTTACAACTCTTTCCCTTTTAGCGCCGTAGGCGGAAATTTTCTGAATTTTGGAGGTCAAGAAGCCAGATTTCTTCAATTTTTAGCGCCGCAGGCGAAAATTTTGAAATTTTGGGAGGCTCTTAAGACAAAAATTTTTAATTTTAAGCGCCGCAGGCAAAAATTTTGGGAAATTTGAAAGATCAATGGACTAGATTTCTTCCATTTTTCCCTAATTCTAGGATCCGAACCGAAGATTTCGGATATCCGGATCCGGATCCGATATCCGAACCGAAATTTTCGGATATCCGGATCCGGTATCCGAACCGAAAATTTCCGGATATCCGGCCTTTTTTCGGATCCGGATATCCTGATCCGCCAACCTTAATCCAAAAGTTAGATTTAAGTGTATCATATTTATCGTTATTAGTATATTTTTGCCTTGTTTTTTGTCTGTTTTTTCGCAATTTTTTATTGAATAGGTAGAGCTTGCGCGGATAGAAGAGTGACAGATATATATTTTGTAAAAACAAACAAAAAACCTTTTTTAGGTTGTTTGAGGTGTTTGAATGTTACGGCGCGGAATTAGAAAAATACAAAAGATGAGAAATTGGAATTAAGAAATTCTTCAAAAATATTTTAAATAATGTTGGTGTAAGATTGTTTATAAATTTTAGAATTTTTTGTAGAAGGAATTGTTAAGGACTTAAAAAAGAATTTTCTCAGCTACCGAGACAGTGATCCTCAATTCTTTGGCCCATAACTCCTCAAATATTAGATTAAAAATTTGAAATTTTTGGAGGAGGTAGTTACACAAAATTTCATGTTTTTAGGTAATTTTTAGACAATTTTATAAGCCCTGGCGCCAAACTCCCGCGCCGAAAAGTTCGAATCTCTCCCTTCTTTTCTTCCATGAAATTCGCTGACCACAAATGCTTAAAAATCACAAAAAAAAAAACAATTTTTGTGTGTAAAGCAAGAAAAAAGCTTGTTTTTATTTTTTCTAGTAACAATCGATCAGCAAAAATATTCAACACATTTTTTTTTCAATTTAAAAAAGACAAAAATATTTAAAAATTTATTAAGGAAAATGTGAACATTGACAAATTGAAATTTAGAAAATTAAAAGAAAATTTTAAAAAGAAATTAATAAATTTTATTTTTGTGAACAAAAAAGAATTTTTAGTTTAGGGTTGACTTTAAAGGACTTTCTAGAGACCGGCCAACGAGGTAATTAATATTTGGGAGAGGATGCCTAGTCGTTATATTCAACTGAAACTACACTAGACGTTTATTCAAAGTTAACAGATACGAGGCCTTTAAAGTGTTAATTAATCTCTACCCTCTATATAGGATTACTCGATACAATTCTATTTCTTATTAGAAACCTGAACAAAACGAGATCTCAATTTAAAATCTCGATTATCGAGACAGAGATTCTCAAATTGTTTACTAAAGCCCGGTCTTTAATGGAAACTAAATGAAATTTTAAAATTTATTTAAAAAGTTGGTCATTCTCCTTTGTGTGTAAATAAATTGACAAATAACAAAATTTAATAAAATAAATTGGACATGTTTTTAATTGTTGCAATTTAATAAAATGAAAAAAAAACACAAAAAAGCTTTCCGAAAAATTTTTTTTTGTAAAAAGGCTGGTTGGAATATAAAGAAGTGAGCGAAAAAAAGGTGAGAGAATTGAGGTACTTAAATAAATAAATATATACCTCCTTCTCCCTCCTTATTCCCCCTCCTCCAAAAAAAGTGTGTGTAAATAAAATGATTGTAAAAAAAAGTAAAGAAAAAAATATTGAGAATTAATAGATCGATTAAATAAATGAATGATTTTTTTCTTAAAATTTTAATGATTAAACTAAAACAGTTAGATCAATTTTAATTTTAAAAAATTGGAAAAAAATTAAATAAAAAACTTAGAACAATACCCATAATTTCAAAAATGATAAACTTTATTGGGGATTTACAAAATAACTGGATATGCTTAAAACGAAAAGCTTGTCGGTACTGTGCGTTTAACGCTTTACCTTTTGATTAGCCATTTTTTCTATTAGCAATTGATGGATATCACTAATAATCTTACTCTATGATGACGAGTACTCAGTTATGCTTTTTAAAGCCTAAATAATCAGGTATTGTATGTAGGTACAATAAGTCTGATTGTGAGTTATAAAAAAGGGAGAATCAGTTATACGTAATCATTTTTAATATTTACAAGAAAGAAGGAAAACCAAAGGAAAATAAGGGCGGATAGTAAAGTACAAGTTACCCATAAAATTCAAAATTATCATCTAAAAATTAAATTATTTTCTATCTTGGATTTTAGAGTTATTTAAACACTAAAACGTCTTAGATTATGGGCATATTATAGAAATATTAAAAATATTGAAAAAGGGTTACCTAAGAATGTGAATTTTTTCAAAAAAAGACACAAAATTAGCCAAATAAATTAATTCTTTACAAAAAATTATTTAATTTTTTATATCAAAAAATACATAATTATATATATTTTTAAGACTATTTATTTTTTGTAAATCTTTTCCTTCAAAAAAATTATTATTCATTTCCCCTCTTAAATTTTTATGATCCTCCCTCCCCCTCCCTAAAACATCTCCGAAAAAGGGCAAAAAGCGATCATTATTTATAAAGTGTGAAGGAGGGAAAAAATAAGGCGGAAAAAATTGTTTAGAAAAAATGATTAAGTACATAGACATATAAAAAGTAAAAAATATAATTTTGTTTTACTAAAGAATTAGAAAATAAAATAAAATTTTTTTGATAAAAAATAAAGTACAAAATTGTAAAAATTTTTTATTTTTTTTGTTAAAAATATTTTTAAGAAAAAATTTCATAGAAAAAAAGTAAAGGAATTCGAACTGTGAGGAAAACGTGGAGTTTAAGCCTTTTAAAATAATTTTCGTCACACTCCGTGCCTTAGACGGAGTGAATCATTTCTTCTAGAAAAAAGAGTTTGGAGATTTTGGGGGTAGGAAAAGAAGATTATCTCAAACTTGTCACAAAAGTTTGAAATAAAGTTTTGGACTTATTTGTTAGCTTTAACAAAACGGTGGGTGTTCTTGCATGAATTTAAACTAAAGATGGGACTGTGTTCGAGGAACATCAGAATTTCAAAAATCAAAATTTCAGAAAAAACTCAGACTAGGACATGGATACGGATTCTGGTATCCGTATCCGGATATTTACGGCGGATACAGACCGATACAGACGGATATCCGCAGGAATTTTGGTATTATCAGTATCCATATCCGTATCCATTACCATGTCTGAAAAAACTTATCCTTTAGTTGAAAATACAAACAAAAAACAAAATTAAAATAAATTACCTATTAGAACCATTAAAAATAAAAGAAGGTTTAGCACCAGATAAATTATTAATTGTTGTTGTTTTTGTTCTAGGTTGAGGCAAAACTCTAGCAAGTTGTGGAAAAGATTGTGGGGGAAGTGAAGGATTTTGTGGGGGTTTTTGTTGTTGTTGTTTACGCATTTTATTTAAAGCTAAAGCCATTCGATTAGTTGTTGAACCTGAATTTGTTGGAACGCCCAAATCTGTGTTTGTACGGCGAAATGCTGCTTGACGGGCATTTAGCAGTTCAGTACTTACTAGAAAATTGTAAAAGGAATTTTTTTAAATTATTAAGATTAAATTTTTTCGAGTTCTAAGAGACAGTAAATTAATTCAATAATAATTCAGTTACCGTATTTACTCGATTAATTCCCCTCCCTCGAATAATTCCCCCTGCTACGGATGAGTTGAAACAATAATCCCCCTCCCCCAAATACCCTACCTAAAACATGTTCAAATTTCAAAACTCAAATAATTCCCCTCCCTTGAATAATTCCCCATGCCACGGATGGGTTGAAAAAATAATCCCCAGTGAAATTAATCGAGTAAATACGGTAGTTATCTTTCAGTAAAATTCTCTTGAGGTTATAGACTGTTAAATAATCAGCAAAATAAACAGATGGACCTAACTATAAGAGATCACAACCTTGGGGCTGAAAAACATATTATAAAATGAGCTACCTTAAAATACAGCTCTTCTATAGAGTCGTATCTTAAACTGAAGAATATTCAGTTCTGTGGACACCTTATAGTGAGGTTTTCGGTGAGTTTTAATTCAATAAAATGACTTAACATTTTTCCTAATTTAATTTGATCATACTCCTCTTTCTCTCTACCTTGGTTACGTCCTTGCCAGTCATCTTTTGAAGAAGGCGAGGAAATCCCTGAACTACTCGTTCTTCGGAAATTACCCTTTAAACGAGCAAATATTGAAGATCCCGATGGTTGTTGTTGTTGTCTTTGTTGTTGTTTTAAATGAGCATTTGTTATTGTTGTTGGTTTTAATGCATTTTGTTGTTGTTGTTGAGCTGTGTTGATGATATTGTTCTTACTGAAACTTATAAATTAATTCTACTATCACAAAAATTCACACATATATCTACTCTCTATCTTATCCCAACTTAGATATTTCAATATCTGAATTGTCCTAGGACGAATCACCATATTATCAGATATCCAAAGTTCTTAGTTAGCCCTTCCTGAGATAGTCTATAGGTGGGATAAGATAGAGATTCCAATTAAAAACACCCATCCCTCACCCTAGAATTGTTGGTTGTTGTTCTTCCTCCCATAAAGGACTATTAGCTGGAGAAGGCATCCATTCCCAACTTGACCCATTCGCTTTAGGCCTTCTTCTTTGAGGTGATGGCGAAAATAATGCACGTAAAAAAAATTCAGGGCCTCTTTTCTTCAAAGGCGGAGGAATCATAAATCGTCCATAATTAGATTCTCTCAAACTTTGGGTACTAGGAGATTGACAAAATGATGGGGCTGTTGATTTGTGAGAAGAATATTGAGGTTGGGGTGGTGGTGGTGGTGGGGTGCCGGAAAGAAAGGAAGATTGAACTGAACGACTTTTACGTAGAGGAAGTGCTGCTGGGAAAATATTTAAATTTTTAGAATATTTTAAAAATTATTAACCGATTTCTAAAAGAGAGGGAATTTAAAATTTATAAAAAAATCTTCTAAATCTAATAGTGAATCCTCCTTTTCCTAAATTTTTTCTCTCCTCTCCAAACTCACCAAATTGTCTTTGTTGTTGTATCATCAATTGTTGCTGATGTCCAGGACACCCATTTGCTGCACAACAACAGCAACAACAAAAATCATTATTAGCCCTTTGATGGTGATGATATCCATACAAAGAGGAAGGTTCCCCAACAATTAGAGAAGCTGGAGGAGCTGATACTGCCGTCGAAGTGGTAGACGGACAAGGGGATTCGCAATAAAAGAAATGATGGTTATTGGTGTGTTGGTGATTCTTAAGGAAGAAAAATAATAATAAAAGTATTGTTTTCTCCCACAAATTGAGGGAAAACTCGTGGATAATGTGAAGCTTGGTTCAACTTTTGGGGTCACATTCTTAAATTAAATTTGACAAAAATGCCAAACATTTTATAGGGGCCTCCTATTAGAGAGGGGAATTTTTGAAAATAAATTTCCTCATTATACCGTTTGTTGTGTAATAAAAGTCCCCATTTTTGGAGGCTGTTGTTGTTGTAATGCAGGAAGTGTAGGAAGTGGTCCGCTTCTTAGAGAGGAGGAAGCTGGTGAATGGCACTGTGAACGAGTACAAGAAGAACAGGAATAATCATTGGAAGGAAGTTGGTAATGTGTAGAATTGTTTTGAAAAGCTTTTGGACTTGTCCAAAAATCTGTTTAAGGAAAGGATTTTATTTGAAAAAAATGTCGCTTATAGAGAGATGTCGAGTATCTTACAATAAGGGTCCGAGAAGTTGCTTATATCGAAGTGTTAAATTGAAGGGAAACATTTTAAGGATTTACACAAAAATCTAAACTCATTTTTAATAAATTATTAGACCAAAAGTGTACGTAAAATAGAGGCTTTGAAAGTTCTAATATTGAAAAAATATATTTTGACTATTTTAATTGTTGTTTTTAAAGGAACGGATTATATAAAAATAAAAAGGATTAAATTGTCACCAACAATAAAAGATGAATGAGAAAAGGAGAGGTGAATGGCAATTTGAGGAAACAAATGAGAAAATTTAAAAATAAACGGGAAAGATAAGATTTTAGAAATGAGAGGGGAGTTTGAAGGACATTAAAAAATAAAAATTGTGGCGGATTCAATTCTTATTAAAAACTTTAAAGATTTGAAGGTATATATTTGTATTTATTTGGCTTTGATTGGAATAAAAGGAAAGCTTTAGATGAGCTTAACGGCAAAACTGTAGGTGGAAAAAGGAATTTTATTGGAGGTTTACAATAATAGATTAATGATTCGACTTAAAGATTTAATGGTATTTTTTCTATATTCCCTATGGTTTTGGCCCAAGAGAGTAAATTATATGGATATCAGTAACTGATGGGAATCAAAATCAAATCGAAAATTTGCAAATATTTAATCTTTGGTGTTTTATAGGAAGAATAAATTTACATTAATTAAATTCAAGTGTTCAAATTTGGAGTAGTAAATGTTTGTAATTCGAAATAGTATTTGTTATTTGAAATTGTAGCAGGAATAGATCACAGAACAGAAATTCCATATAATTAAAGATTTCTAGGATTCAGTGGGACTTCTTATTTCGGAATTTTGTTCTCAAGGAAGATGGGATTTTGTAAATGTGATTTTACTTATCTCTAATTTATTTAAAGAAATGTCACTATTAATTAATTAATCCCTAAATAGGACTAAAACTATCCACCAAAGTTACAATCTTTAAATAATTTTTTAACTAAATTTCCTTTAATAAATCTGTTAGTAATTGTGTTTTTATTGACTGAAATAGTAAGAAAATTATTTTAAATTGTATTGGGGGATCTGCTGAAGTTCTCGCCAGATAAAATTTTGTGTGGCGCGCGCTAACACATTAAAAATAAAAAAAGAAGGTCATGTTTATTATTTTTCTTGTTTTCTTCCAATTTTAATCCTCGGCGTAGATTAAAGGGCAGAAACAAGCAAAATTAAGGAGAAAATAAATAAAATGACACAAAAATTAAATAAAAAATTGTTTTTTAGGAAAATCCTCTTAAAAATAAAAATATAAAATTACATTTAATCGGAATAGAAAAAAATTATTTTTTATAAAAAAAGTTGTTTTTAATCTATTTTGGTTTTTAATACATAAAAAATAATTTAAAAATAGTCAAAACATTATTTAAAATAAAAAAATAATTTGTGAGAGAAAGGGGAGAGATTAGGGGGAATTGAGAGACAGACAGAGAAATTGGAGCTAATTTTATGAAGAGAAAAAGGAAGGAAGATTTTTAATCACTGAATAGATAAACTAAAAAATAATTTTTATTATCAATCAGATAAAAGCTTTTTAATGCACTACTAAATTAAACAGGAATTATTAAGTTAATGAATAATTAATGTGGGGGGATTTTTTGTGACAATAAAAACAAGAATATAATTATGAGAGAAAATAAATTTATTAGAAAACTTGCCTTGCCCCATCAAAGCCAATCCTTGTAAACCATTTATTGTTTCACACTTTGCAACAGCACTAGGCAAGCAAAGACTACATTTGAGTTCTTGAATTGCTTCAGGTTGACAATAATGTTCCAATAAAAGAGGTAAAGAGGTAAATGTCCGAGGCTGAAAAAGCAAAATAAATTTTTAAAAAATAGTTTTGGATTTTCAATTTAAGTTTGAAAACTGCGAATGTTTTTCGTTATATTAATGCCTTTCTGAATTGGGGGTACTCTAAACATAATTCCTTCATACACGCTCATGATCTGGCTAATAAAAAACTAGGGCAATTTAAGGATACTATTGTTTTTACAATAAAAGCAGGGGCTGGTTACGATAGTATAAAATAAGCTATTAGTGTTAGTTCGAAATACTATTAGCATTACTTAGTCCATGATCTCCTTATTTGCTTTTCAGACCATTCCAGACTTTATCTTATTGTTACCTCAATAAATATCCAGTTCCCTATACACATTTATACCTAACCTTGATATTCCCTTCCTCTCTTGCTTTTATTTAACAAAAATTTTATTTATTAAACAACACACCGATCCCTGTAATCGAACAGATTGCCCAGAACCCACAGCTTCAAGCAAAAAATGATCCAACTGATCTGTATCCAATTTATCTTCATTATTACCATCTTCGTTTTCTTCTTCCTCTTTTGGAGGGGGTAATTTAACAGAGAGGGCCATAACAGAAATAGAGGAACGTTGGGTGGAAGAATGAAAAGAAGCCGAAGTATCAGAATTTGTAAAAGAATTGTTGTTGTTGTTAATAATACGGCTAGAACCACGAACAATAAAAACCTAAAAAAGGGGTTGGGATAAAATGTCTCTAAAAATTTTTTCAAAAATCACAAACTCCAGGTTCCTGATGCCTCAAAAGATGAGAAGCTTCTTGTCTATTTAAATGAGGAAGGAACCATATAGGATGAGATTTGACTAGTTGTTCGAGTAATGTAACCCCCGAACGGAGAGAAGGGGATGTTGAATAGGGGGAGATTTTTTGATTAATTGAAGATTTGTTTTCTTCTTTTTCTTTTTGAATTTGTTGGTGTTGATATGACACTAAAATAGTAGAGGGTATAATTCTATATAAAATTTTTATTTAAAATCTCAGGTAACTTTTTTTCAGATTCTTAATTTATTCCCCCTTATATTTATTAAATTCCCCCATTTGATAAAATGAGGGAAGAAACTTGGACATTCAATAGACTTGTAAATTTTATAAAAAAATTAATTAAGAAAATATTTTTATAACTAAAAAATTCTTTTAACTAACTTTTGTATTTTCACAAAATTAAATTAAGAAAATTGTGTAAAAGTAAATTAAAAATATTTAGATGTACGTAATCTTTAATTTTGTGAATAATTTTACTTTTTTTTAATCATTCTAAAAATATTCTTAAAATTCCTTTTTTGCATCACACAATTTAAATTATTTAATTTTCTCTTTTAAAAATTATTTTCTCTTTTCATTGCTTAATCATTCAAACGTTCAAAAAACACCCTCCGTTTTACTCCTTCCTTTTAGGTAGAGCCCAAGTAGGCGCAAAGCTATAACGGCGCAAAGCTATAACTTGCTTCAAGATTTCCAAACCTCATCAAATTTAGTATTAAACGATTCCTCTCACTGGGCTAAAGAGATTGGTACCAAAATTGATAAAGGCCAGAAGTTTTCCGGCAAGTTATGGCTTTGCGCCGTTAAGGCGCGCGCCTAATTGGGCGGGTCCCATCTAAACAAACCTTCTTCATTTTGTTCATTTCTTTGTTCATTACCAACAACAAAATTATTATTATTTATAGACAATAGCCTTCTCTTCTTTTTATTTAAATTTATTATTCTTTTTTGTTCTCCATTTTCTTCCCCTTCTTTTTTAATTTTTATATCAAAATTATTTTTTTCGTGATGAAAATGTACATAAACTGTTCCTTGACATTGTCCACGAGGGGAGGATTTTTGTAAAGAAAAATCCCCACAAATTTGTTTTTCTTCAATACTTTGGATTGGTTTTGTAGTTTCTAATTGTAATTCTGGAGGGACTAGTCGATCCAATGAAAAGCGAGGTCTTTGGGTCTGTTAGAAAAAATAAAATTTATTTTTTTTTGGAATTTTATTGGAATAAAATTGGGGGAAGAAAATTAAAGAAAAATATACTGGACGAGGGTTAAAAAGAGAAAAACTTAATTTTTGTAAAAGATATATCCTATGTACCGTATAACCTGTATTAATTTCCCTCCCTCAAATAATTACCCTCTCTCGATTAATTACTCCCCTAGCGGAAGGTCGAAACAATAATTACCCAGGGTAGTTATTAAAGGATATACGGTATGTTATCAAAACATTTGCTGATAAACAGACAGACTGTAAATTTGTAGGAAAATCTGAGGAATTTTTTAAATTTAAAGGCGAATTCTATTGTTAATATTTTAACTAAGAAATTTTTGAGCTCAAATATCCGCTAAGTATAATCCACGGATAAATAAATTTTATAAATATTTGCGGATCTATTCGCAAAAGATAATTTTTTTCAGAATTTAATTTTTCTAATTTTCATCCCTTCTTTAAACTAAAAAGTTCACCTCACTAATATCCCCCACCAATCCATCATTATTATTAATTCCATCTTTATTATTATTTTCACTTCCAACACAATTATTATTATTAGATTCTAGCCAAGAAGCAATAAGTAAACATTCAGCATCCCCTTCTGCCGCTAATTCTTTTAATAACAAATCTTCATTTTTCTGTTGTTCTCCCTCTTCTTCCACACTTTTATTTACAAAATTAGTGGATAAAGGAGGTGGGGAACTTGGCGAATTAAGTGAGGAACCCGTTGCTTCTGGTGAGGCCCGTGGGCAGTGAAGAAATAATGGAGAGGAAGAGGAGATGGCTTGAAAATAATTAATTTTAATTAAATTATTTTGAATTTAAATTTAAATAGTTTTTAAATAAAAGGGGACATTATACTGAAAGATGTATAATACTATACATGAAATATCAGTGCCTAATACACCAAGTCGGGATAGGTAATTAAGACTATACCAGGGATCTAGCCGACATACAAGTTAAATTCCCGACTTTCGAGAATCGGGTTGGCTAGATCCATGCACTATATACATATAACGTTTCCGACATTTTTTGGAAAAATTTTCACAAAGGTATACATAGAATACTTTTACGAAAGTTTTTTTTATTTTTTAAATGAAAGTTGATTGCCCCTTTACATAATTATTACACTCAATTAAGTAGATTTAATTAATTTTATTTTTTTTTAATTTCTTTGAGGTTTGTAATATATATTTTTATAAATTAATTTGAAGGGGATAAAAGCAAGAAATTATAAAAAAAAATAAAATGATGCTGCTAAAGTACTCATTTTTGTATTTGTGACAGTGAAGGAAAAAGGTGAATAACACACAAGGGATGATGAAGAATGGAAGGGGAGAAAATGGATGGATGGAGGATATATTTATTTTGAGAGAAAAAAGAAGAAGAGCCGTTCTTCTTATTTTTTTACGTTCCTCCGCGCGTTCCTCTCACAAAATGAAATTGTAAAAATGTCAGCTACTGCCATTCTACATGCAAAAAAGTAGAACACAAAATGAGGGGGGAATTCTGGATAAACAATAAACAAAATTCTTTAAATTTTAGAGAATTTTTAGCAAGTTTGTATACAAAAATTGTGGTTTTTGGATATATTAAAAACTGTTAGTGAAAGGATGATGATCTAAAAGGTGTACCTAAAATAAAGAAAGTAGAGGTTAGACTAACAAGGAACCATCTTTTACTGTAACTGCGAATTTGATATTCTTTTGTTACCATTTGATAGAGGACCCTGACTTACTATTGTGAGATATTATCCGTTTTCTTGAAATGAATTTGGGCCGTGTTAGCGTTTGGGAAATTTGAGTATAGTATGCAGAAGAAGGAAAAGACTCTGTTATCTAGATCGAAATATAAACTTTAAATCACGACTGATTCTCAGATCAAGTCTCTAATATAAGTACATTGATGTTGGCTGGTACTAAAAAGTATTTAACCTAAAGTTATTTTTCCTAGTTAAAATAGGAGGAGAATAAATAATACCTTAGTATAGTGAAATAATTTTTTTAATAAAAAAACTTTTCCACCTATCTACCTAGATATTAACCTAGTCATTAATTTTATATTTTTCCAAATAACAAGCTTTAAGGATTAAAAAAGTGTGTCATTATTTAAAAAAAGGTTAGTCCTAAAAAATGTTTTTTTGTGTTAGTATTGAGGTAAATGCCAAGTGAGTAATAAATAAGGGTCAACAAAAAACATAAAAAAATGTTTGGCTAGCCAATATAGGTTGAAGACCAAAATATTTACCTGGACAGCGATTTATTGATTCTGCCGAGCAAAAAATGGACGCGAAGATTTTTTATATAAGGGGGGAAATGTGGAGGGGTAAAGTCTGAGTTAAAGCCTATTTTTGAGTAAGCAAAAAATTTAAATTAAATTTGTATGCAAAAATAATTTTGAGGAGAATGAGGAAATTTTTGTTAGTAAAAGTTTTTAAAAATGTTTTTGAGACAAAAAAGAAGCTTTGGAGGTTTTTGAAGAATTATGGGGTATTAAGAAGTGTAAGTGATACTTCAATCAAAAAAATTTTTTTTCAGTTAACAGAATTAATGATCAAATAGAGAGGAGGATATTTTTTTGATTTTTAATTTTGATTTATAAGTTAGATTCCTAAAATCAAATAATTTTTTTAGGGTTCAGAATTTACCAGTTACCAGAGGTGGGTCTGAATTCCGATTTCCGACTTTTGAGCCAGTTCCGATTTCCGACACCTCTGATTGTTCCGACCCACCTCTGCCAGTTACTATTTATTTAATGAGAAAAAACAACTGCTGGCCTTATGGTAGATTAAAAATCTAACTACTATTAAAACTCGTAAAAACAAATTTATTTTAAAAAAGAAAAAGTAAAATCTTTCAATTTTTTTAAATCTTAGAAAAGAAAAAAATATATGTATTTTTGGGTTATTTTGAGTGAAAATAAATAAATATATAAAGGTGTGTGTGTAAAGAAAAGATAATCGGCAATAAAAGAATAACACACAAAACACCCCCAAACAATGTCCTCGAAAAATGTCCAACAAGAGTGGTCAACAACAACAAAAAAGCGGAAGTCACAAAACAAAAATTGTATATAGGGGTAGGGAAAAGGTGAGAAAAGGAAGAAGAATTTGTGAATTTCTGGGGGGGGGGGTGACAAAAAAATAAAATTAAAAAAATAAATTAATGCAATTAATCAGAGATCCATAAAAGTAAGTTTTAATTATTTGGAGAATATTTACTAATTCAAAATAAAAGGTGTTTTATTTCAGAAATAATCAGAATAAAAAATTAAAATTTATTTTTGAATTTCAATAAAAATTCTGAATAGTTAAAGAGAATTCTGTCAAAAAAAATTTTTAAATTAAATTTAAAAATAAATTAAAAATATTATTTAGGTATTTACTCAATATAAAATATTCTTTAATAAAAAATTTTCCAAAAAAGACAAATTTATCAAAACTTTTTTTCCAAAAAAACAAAAAAATCTTTGAATGTCCTATTTTTATATCCCTATATCTCCCATCCATTTAGAACAAAAAAAAATCAAAAAATAATTTATCTACACCTGTTATTGATGAAGAGAAGGGGGGGGGGGGTTTGGATAAATTAAAAAAACTGAAAAAAATAAATAAATCTGGGAGAGCACAAATCTTTCCAACAGAGAAAAGTCACACAAAACCAGTGTTTTTAAATTAAAAATAGAAAAAAACTGGTTTGTGGTATTTAGATTATATAAAATTGATTGGAATTGGAAGGATAAAAAGGGGAAAAAAGGGCATAAAAAAGGGGGGAGAGGGGGGATATAAATTAATTTTTAAATAAAAATTAAAAATAATTAATTATTGTTAATTTACATAATTTTATTTTGGAATGGGGCTAAGATAAATGGACAAAATGAGAATATAAAGGGATGGAAAAATAAAAAATCTGAATGGGAAAAATATTTAGAATTTTAAAAATATTTATAATATTTAGAATTCCCTTTTAGAAGAATGGATTTAGTGCAGATACACAAGTTTGCACAGATTTTAAGGAGGCTTATAGAGCAGTATTAAGACGTTTGGTCTTCAGTCTCGATTCAGAACTTTTCTGGGGGTTTTTTGGTCTTGGGGTGATTAGTCCTGGGTTTTTTATAAAAAAATAAAAAATATTACTTTTGAAAAATAATCGGTGGAATTAAAGTGCAAGAAAGCAAACGAGGTATCTAATTAAAATAATTTTCTGCTTTTATGGATAAAAAATATTTTAAAAATAAAATTTAGTGTTGTAAAAATCTATAGAAAGTTTAAAAAGAATTTTGTTTGGATACATATGGATATCCTGAGAAATCTAATTCCGCTCTGGATCAAAATCTGAAAAAATTCGGAGCGGAGTTGAATTCAAAGATATGGGCCAGCTAATTCGCTTGAATATTCTTGGCATGACTCAATACTTTTCATTATCTTTTCTATCTTCAATAAATATTTTTTTAATTAAAAAAAATGGCGAATTATTTAAACGCTGAAGCCTTCCTTCTCGAATACAACCGTTCTGCAAAACTACTAAATTTATTTTTTTAATTATTTTATATTATAGTTTTATATATAATTTAATATATATTTATTCTTTTATATTATTTTAGTATTTTTAGTGACTTAAAAGTGCCACCAAATTAATTACAGAACGGGAAACGATAGGCCAGCTAATTCGCTTGCAATAATAAAGACTGTTTTTTATATATAAAAGAAGGCAAAATAAATAAGTTTAATTAGATAGGGAGTAAATAAAGTTTAGACTTTTGTAAGACTTTTTTGGTTTCTTTTTCTCTACTCTTCTCTTATATAATGAATTTAAATGATGGTATTTGATCCCTGCCGTTGGGTAAATTAAAAATTGTATCCTTTTTGACAATTTTGAAAGGATTTCGTTGGAATGAATTGAGAAAGAGAGAGAAAAGTGATAATAAACTAAGAGAGTTTTTTTGAGAATTTTAAGAATATTTTGTCTTAATTTTTTAAATTAGAAGTGTAGATACGGACAGCTGAACGTTAATAGATATACATGCAAAAATAATTAAAAATATAGCAAAGGTTGATTGGAATTTGGAAGAAAATTCCAAAATCGGAATTAGCTCAGATATCGCAAGTTAGAGAAATTTGGAATAGAACACTCAAGCGGAAATGAAAATTATGACAGAATAATTAATAATACTGGTCAAAATATTTTATTTTTTTAAATTGTTAAAGTGTTAAGGTATTCAATATTTATTAGAATTAATTCTAGTAATTTTTTAAATTGAAAATTCACCTTTATTCCTTCCATCAACATTTTCCCTCCTCGGGGGTTTATTTCTTGTCTCAATTATTTTATTTAATTGTTGTTGTTGGATTTTTAATTGGGGTGGGGATATTTTTAATTTTTTAATTTCTCCAATTAATTGTTTTTCTTTTTGATTGAAAATTTTTTGTTGATTTTTTGGTTGTAATATTGGGACAGAACCTGATTTTAATATTTTTCTAGGTAATTGAGGAGCATATGGCTGTAAAAATATTTTTTAAAATTAATTAGAAAGTTGAGATTAAATTAAATATACCCCTACTTTTAGATACCCCCTTGTAGGATAAAATAAAAGGAAATTAAGTAAATTTTGTGTTTAGCTGGCCTCTCGTCAGTGCCCAGCCAAACTAAAAACCTTTATTTTAAATTGAGGGTTAATTTAATTATCTAAAAGTGAGATTCGACTAATATACAAAAATTTTAAAAATAGAATATTTGGCACTCTTGTTTCATCTCCCCCTCCGCATTTTCTTTTCTTTCCGAATTTGATCGGCTATAACTTTTTTATGCTTGATCTAATCCGAAGAATCTTAAATTACTTGAAAGCTCTCGATGAATCCAATCTTTTTCCCAATTAGCTGGAGCAGA